TGTAAGATGTATTAAACAGAATAATGATATTTGTAAGTATGAATTAATATTTGTTTGTTATTCTCTCAGGGAGCAACCTTTCTCTTGGGCTATGGAGGTGTCCAGTGGACAGGGGTCAAAGGAAGTCAAGACGGCATTGTATCTCAGTGACAAGCCTCTAGTAGACCACATTAGTTTTGACTTAGGTGAAGTCACTAGCTGTTTTTTTTTCAATTGCTGTTCTAGTTTTATGTCTTTTGTTGTTGAGTTAATTGAAACAAACATGACATTTTAAATGATCTGGTCACACACATGCAGATGTACCCCTAGATGAGTCTGTGAATGGAGAAAGTGAGAAGATGTCTTACTACAGGACCATGGTGAGCTGTAGTCTCATCAGCTTCACTTAACACTGGTAAGACTCCATATCATAGAAATTAACTCACAGAAAATGTCATTTCAAATGTCAAATACCATATTTATTTATTGTTTTTTTTATGCAATGGTTTTAATTTGTTTATGCACAATACTGTTCAAAAGTCTGGGGTCATTTTTTGTTTTTTAAAGAAGAGTCATGATCACCGGTTTTACATTTATTTGATAATACAGTCAAAAACAGTATTGTGAAACATTACAATTTTAAATAACTGCTGCTTAATATTTCTGTGCAAACAGTCTTACTTTTTCAGGATTTTTTGATGAATAGAAAGTTCAAAAGAACAGCATGTCTAAACTTCATCATGCACTGGCCAAACCTTTGGCATCTCTACATGGTCTTTCTTTTCCTTGGATTTGCTTCTAGCTGGAGGGGCAAACATAGAAAAATCCTGTTAGAGGTTTCGGCTCAGTCTCTGTTTCAGACCTTCCCAAAAGTCTTTGTCAATCCATTCTCATGGTAAGCATACCGAGTCCCTATGGACACTAATGGCTAAGTAGAAACCTAGTCAAACCACAAATGAGGTTAGCATAATAAAACAGTGGAGATCCAGATGAAGACAAGGAATGTTCTCATGTACTGTTCAAGAGGAATTTGTTCTTGATTAAAGGCTACATGATGATTTCTTTTAGTCTGTGATCAACAAATGGAATTTTTCCTTGTTTGCCCTGGTTCTTCAACTAAGTTTGAATCAATGATCCACTGACCTGCAGCCAGGAGCTGATTGCTGGTGGAGCAAGTCTCTGTAGCCTTCGTTTTCCAGTTCTCAACCTGCCAATGATGATGATTCAGAGCATACAGTCATTGTCTCATTTATTCATACTATTCTCTTACAGATAGAGGCTGTAAGATCAGCCTCCTGATCAGCCCCAGAGAGGGAGGCTAGCAGATGGGCACTCGTTTCAGGATTCTGTTCCGTAATCTGTCTTTTTATATGGTATTTAACTTGACTGTTTAATTCAGTTAATTACACCACCTTTAATACATAGTTTATATAAACATTTAAGTATAAAATGGTTTATATGTTTTTGTATCATGTAAAAATAAACATTTGGAACATGTCCAAGGCAACTAGAGTTTGTTCAATATAAGACGACAGAAAAATAATTAGAAAATACCATTTATATGGTAATGACATCCTAATCTTGGGTGTTCTCCGAGATGGTTTTGTTGGTAGATAGCAAAATGAGGTTGTTGGTGTATTCACCCTAAACAGCTATTTAATTGGAAATGTTCGACTCCACAAACATTTTCATTGACTCTAAATAGCATGTTTCAATACCAAAACCGATGATCTAATAATCCAAATAGTACTGCAAGACAGCTGTCAAACAATCTGGAGCAGAATCAGTTCATTCAAAATGTTAAAGGGGTCATATGATGCGATTTCAATTTTTCCTTTCTCTTTGAAGTGTTACAAGCTCTTGGTGCATAAAGAAGATCTGTAAAGTTGCAAAGACTAAAGGAAGTCAAGACGGCATTGTATCTCAGTGACAAGCCTCTAGTAGACCACATTAGTTTTGACTTAGGTGAAGTCACTAGCTGTTTTTTTTTCAATTGCTGTTCTAGTTTTATGTCTTTTGTTGTTGAGTTAATTGAAACAAACATGACATTTTAAATGATCTGGTCACACACATGCAGATGTACCCCTAGATGAGTCTGTGAATGGAGAAAGTGAGAAGATGTCTTACTACAGGACCATGGTGAGCTGTAGTCTCATCAGCTTCACTTAACACTGGTAAGACTCCATATCATAGAAATTAACTCACAGAAAATGTCATTTCAAATGTCAAATACCATATTTATTTATTGTTTTTTTATGCAATGGTTTTAATTTGTTTATGCACAATACTGTTCAAAAGTCTGGGGTCATTTTTTGTTTTTTAAAGAAGAGTCATGATCACCGGTTTTACATTTATTTGATAATACAGTCAAAAACAGTATTGTGAAACATTACAATTTTAAATAACTGCTGCTTAATATTTCTGTGCAAACAGTCTTACTTTTTCAGGATTTTTTGATGAATAGAAAGTTCAAAAGAACAGCATTTATTTGAAATAAAAAATATTTTGTAGCATTTTACAACTTTATCATCACTTTTGATCCATTTAATGCATCCTTGCTGAATAAAAATATACATTTCTTAATAAAAAATAAAAAAAATCGTACTGACCCCAAACTTATGAACAGTAGTGTGTATATACAACCACTTCAGTTTGCAGAAGTTTAAGCTTCAACAGGGTTTAAGACAACTAATTTAGTCCACATAGAGATAAGTAATTTCCAAAAGCAGATGACTATTTGCCTATATCATTTAAATTCAGCATAGTGTCCTTAACCTCCTTAATGCAAATAATATGAACCAAGAAACAAGGACCGAATCCAGTTTGTTTCCTTAAAAAAAGTCAGTTAGTTTCGTTTGCGGAGTAGGAACATGAGAAAGACAGCGCTGATCAAAATGCAGAGGGTGCACACTGTGGGAACCACAACCTCGGTCACCATCTCCATGTGGCTGGTTAAAGGATCTGAAATGTATACACAAACGTGTTTATCAGACCAAACATATTAGCATAGCCCAGTTTCACACTGCTTTTGCGTAACGGAGCACTCAAAGGGTTAATAGAGTTCTCTTCTAGCTATTGTGTGTGTGTGTGTGTGTGTGATGGCTTACCATGAATAAGTTTTAGAATATTGGCAGCCGTATTCCGCTGTTTCTCTAATGAAGAGAGAGAAATAATCTTAGGACAGCAGTAGGACACATTAACCCTTTGAGGGCCGCTGTGTAAGCTCACAATAAAGCGGCACAGTCAACTGGGTTATAAGCAAAAGGGCAGCATGCCATCCACATCAAGCATCCTTTTAGTTTTATACTTATATTGGCTGTTTTTTGAGGGTTATACAGCACATACAGTATTTCAGTTTGATTAATCAAAAGAGTATTGGCAAAAGCAACATTTTAAGGTTCTGATTAAAAAGATTTCCAGTTTCTGATAATCAGATGATTATTTGCTGATAACCAAAACTTCAACAAAGCAGGCTCTCCTCAAAGCGGCAGACAGTTCATCAAGTTTATGTTGACTGAATTCCTGGTCGCCAGTCCATAAGCAGTATGTCATTGTGATTTATGAAATTGCACATGATTAAACCTTAAAAACATAGCATGTAATTTATTATAATAATAGTGTGCAACAGCCAGGTTCCACAAGTAAAAAAAACTCACATTCATTAAAAAAAAAAAAAATCAATGATTTTTAATGATAACTTGTAAACTTTTAAGGACAAACTATGAAGTTGTTCATTGATGGTATATGATGATATATTATTTTGTTGAAGCCATCAGCCCACATATATATATATATATATATATATATATATATATATATTA